GGGCGGTGGACAGGGAGGGAGGGAGAAGGGGATTAAGGGATGTTATGATTGGCACACATGTTGTGGGGGGATCATGGGGAAGACTGTGTAGCACAGAGAAGACAAAAAGTGACTGTGGCATCTTACTACACTGATGGACAGTGACTGCAATGGGGTATAGGGGGTCTCCATAATATGGGTGAATGTAGTAACCACGCTGTTTTCATGTGAAACCTTCAAAAGAGTGTATATCAATGATACCCTAATAAAAATAAATAAATAAATACAATAAATACTATAAAAATGAACAAATGGCACTGCATCAAACTAAAAAGCTTTTGTATGGCAAAGGACACCATCAGAACAAAAAGGCATCCACAAGATGGAAGAATATATTTGTAAAGGACTCATCTGATAAGGGGTTAACTTCCAAAATATATAAAGAACTCATATGCCACAAGGGCCAAGAAACAAATAACCTCCTCTGAAAATGGGTCGAGGACCTTAACAGACCCTTCTCCAAAGAAGAAATTCAGATGGCCAACAGGCACATGAAAAGATGCTCCACATCACTAATCATCAGGGAAATGCAAATTAAAACCATGATGAGAAATCATCTCACACCAGTTAGGATGGCCAACATCCAAAAGACAAAACAACAAATGCTGGCGAGGTTGTGGAGAAAGGGGAACCCTCCTACACTGCTGGTGGGAATGTAAATTGGTGCAACCACTGTGGAAAACAGTATAGTGGTTCCTCAAAAAACTAAAAATAAAAATACTATCTGACCCAGTAATTTCACTCCTAGGAATTTACCCAAAGAAAACTAAATCCCTGATTCGAAAAGATATATGTACCTGTATGTATATCCCTACACTGTTTGCAAAAGTCAAGATACAAAAGCAACCTAAGTGTCTATCAGCAGATGAATGGATAAAGAAGATGTGGTACATATACACAATGGAATATTATTCAGCCATAGAAAGAGAGAAATTCTGCCATTTGCAGCAACATAGATTGATCTTCAGGGCATTATGCTCGGTGAAATAAGCCAGGCAAAGACAAATATCACATGATCTCACTTATTTGTGGAGTATAAAAACAAAGCAAAAACAGAAGGAACAGAGCATTAGTGTCACTGACACTGAAAAGTGAGTATTGGTTACCAAGAGGGGGGAGGGGATAAAAGGGTACAATAATTCACAATCACAACATAAATTGACCACCAGGACTGCTGCACCACTGTTATGTATGTCTGAAACAAATGTAAGATTCCATATATTAATTTAAAAAGTTAAATTTTAAAAAGTGCACAACGACAATGAAGGAGAACAAGGGGGCTTTTTAGGGTACTGGAAATAGTCTGTATATTCTACATCATTACATGGTTGTATATGTAAAATATTGAATTACACAGGTGCTCTTAACAGCTGCACCAAATTGTTAATCTTAGTTAATCTAAAGCACGTAAGATTTTAGATCTTTATTCTACCTACTCCCTCAGGTCACTCAGGCAAACGTGAATGAGAGAGAGTTACAACTGACCTTATCATCATGGCAGCAATTTCTGCAACCCAGGAGAGGCCTCTAAGCCCACCCCAATGTATCCCAAGATCCACAACCACACCACCTAAGCAGCGAATACGCTGTATAATGGCCTTTAAACATTACTAACATTATCTCTTTCTTGCCAACCTTTTCAGCAATGCAGAAGGATTCAGGTTATTACAGTCAGATTTTTCTGACTTTATAACTTCAGTATTGCTGTTTGAAGATGTACTTTGATCCCTATCCCCAAATGGTTTCCTTTTATAAATCTTCAGCAACATTACAAAAATAGCCATAAATGCCCACTTGAGCCCTATATTAGTATAAATTATATGTAATTTTGATATTCTAACAGTGACAATGGGTCAATTTCCATAATAGAGGAATTTGGTTTTTGTAAATATATACATGACTTAATTTTGCACCTATTCAGAAATTAAAACTCTGATGGTGTAAATGTTTTTATTTTTTATATAATACCTAAACATGTAACTGTGAAAAGATGGAAAAAGTCAAAATTAGTTTTATTTGTAAAAGAAAAAAATGTTGGTAATAGTAAGTTTTATCATTCACCTTTTTAACTCTGTAAGTTCACTGTAGAAAAGTCTTAAAACTTGAGGCATGTGCAAAAAGGACAAAGGCATCAGAATTCCCACAAAATATTCTGATGTATATCCTATCAGACCTTCCTATGCAAATATATACATACACACAGGTATTTTACAAAAATGGGTCCATACTAAAACAGTTTCCTATTCTATAAGCTTCTTTCTTAAGACATCATGAACACTATGAAATAACATTTTAAAATAGAAATGCAAAGCAGTAAGATACATTCATGATAGCCTTCACTTACCAACTTTTCATTTTGGGGTCAACCCTTTCTAGCCACATTAGGGCAGACCACCACACAAGGCTGTCAGAGCAAGCTCTGTCCATGACCCACGTTCATATTTTAACCAGTCTCCCCATTCCACAAGTGGAAAAAGCCTGATCAACAGCATCCTAAGGCAGATGCCCTAATAAAGCCCAGCCCAGCCTCTTGGAAAATAATGATGGTGTGCAGACGCACAGAGTGTGCCATGAGGCACTCCTGAAGCACGTTCCCATGTTTAACCCTGACAGCGACGAGGAGCTGGACGAAGTTATCACCTGCAAAACTGAGCCCGTGCAAGGTTGGTATGTTGCCTAACAATGAGGAGTCTATCAAGTTTGTGTCCCCCAAACGTTGTGTGACAGAATTTTGTTGTGGACCAAAACTCTGTAAGCTAAGTTTTGTTTCTCTGCAGAAGCCCCCTTCACGCAGAAAGCCCTCTCTACCCCAGCGGACTCCTTGATGAAGAATGGTTCTGGGTCTAACACTCAGTACTGTGCCCAGCACACAGGGCAGTGAAGCTGAGAACCCTCCTGAGAATCAAGACACCTCCCACTGTTTTCTCTCTGACACCCCGGTGACTGTGTAGGGAATGAAGAGGATGCAGCCCAGGAATCAATCAGAAGTCGCTCTGGGAAACACAGGGCCAGTCACTACCCAGGCTGTTAACTGTTAACAAACACTGTTTGGGGTGTCTGTGCTCCAGCAGACAAGGTTCCCCAAAGAGCTCACCATCTGTGAGGAAACAATTCAGAAGCTTCAGAATTACAATAAGAATTTCTGTGATCAGTGTTACGAACCTGTTACCGTAAGAGTATCTATTATTAACTGTTATTAACTATTATACACTATTATTAAAACACTTGTGAAGAAATTTTGAAACCAAAGACTTTAAAACTTTAATAAAAAAATGTTTTTCAAGGTGCAGGTCACAGCTCAACAGTACATGCATGGTAAAGTAACTGTGTACTACAACAAGCATTTTATTAATAATCAAGAAGTAATTATCAGAGTGTCATTTTGTAAACTTCTGTGTGTGTGGGAGCAGGCACTATGAGGCCTAATAAATTTTATTTGTTACAGTGGGTTATAGTCAAAAGCCTTGATTCATAAATCTAACAGTAACACAGCCAGGTCAAAAATAATACCAGGCATTTGGTTATGTGAGTTTGAATGGTGTGATCAGAATAATTACAATATTTTACCTAAGCAAAGTAAATGAGAATTATTAAAACCCAAAATAATGCTATAAAAAAGGCCACTGAAAGGATTTTTATCATACCACCAACCTGCCTTTATTGAATCAATAGAAATGAGTGTATTTTACATCCAATTACAGCAAAATAACCAACATTTTTGTAAAAGACTTCCGTAGGCAGACCTCCCACTCTCCCCTCACTAGCACGAACAAACACTGTCCTTAATTAACAGCCCCCAAAAATCCAACGCACAAGTCTCATCCTTGATCTGAAGAACTACACCTGTTACACTCTCCAAGGTTTTGGAAAACGGCTACCTCCGGAGACTGAAGTCCAGGGCTATGACCCAGGATGCAAAACAAATGTAGTAACAAACTAAGGAAATCTACAACGGCACTTAACTACACTGCAGAGAACTCCGGCAATACTTTAGGCTGAAGCTAACATACACACAAATATTACTGTATGTTCATGAAACAGAAGCATCAGAAAGCCATGCCATATGCAACGACTTCTTATCTGCTCTCACTGAGTTCCAGCACAATATTTGGAATCTTGCACGAAACAGTTTGTCTCATAATTTGGCAACAAATATTCCTGATGAGGCTTTTTCTTTTTTATTGCAAATGTATTTAAAATAACTTAACGTTCTAACGAGGCAACTTGTGAAAAAATCCATTATCTTTCAGAAGCTGAATGAGTGGAAATGACTATGTCAACCGCATACCCACGGACTAGCACTGTGTCTTAAGGGCTGGGACCCGAGCAGAACAGAGCACAGCAATCCACAGGTACATGCAGGGTATGCTAGGTGCTTTCATAAACAAAACAATTAGTTTTCAAATTCCTTAAGTTCAAACACTAAACACATGCCTGAGTAACCAGACCACCAATTACCCCTGAGAACTTTTTAAGGAGCAGGGGATGAAGGGCCAGGGCTGCCACCTCCGGAAGACTGGCAGGTGGCTTCCAAATGACCACACTGGAGAAGAAAAAGACAACTTCCAGGAGGCACTTGTCAATGACCATTTGCAAGGACACGGAGAAGGTGGGGGCAGTGAGACATTTCAAGGCACTCGGAAATGCGACGGGAACCCCACTCGTCACCTGACTCGTAATTGTTCTGGAATCGCACCCGAGTAATTTCAAGGACGGGCTCCGCGCGGGGCGAGTCGGCACCACCCCGGGGCCCATGACAGCGCTGCGCAGGTGGCAGGGCGCGCCGCACGCCTCACCGGGGACGCCGGCACCGGGGCGGCCTCCGTCGCAGGCTCGCCGCTCCCGCGGGAAGCCTGTCACGGCGCGAGCGCGGCCCCCACGGCCGGCCGCCCGTTACCCGCACGGAGCCCTCTCCCCGCAGGCGACGGGCCCGCCCCCGCCCCCGCCCGGCCGCCGCTTACCTCGAAGTAGCCTCCCGGGGCGGTGCCGCCCGCGCCCGGGCCGAGGGGCCCATTGGCCGCCGCCTCGCCGCCCGGGGCCGCCAGGCCCGCGGCCTGGGAGCCGCGCAGCGCAGCCGCCGGGCCGGCCTTGCCGCCGCTCGCGCTGCCGTTGCCGCCGCCCGAGCCGCCGCCACTGCCACGCTTGTTCTTCCGGCGCTTGGCCCCGCGCTTGGCGTCGGCCGGGCTCATGGCGGGCGGGCTGGCGGGCGGGGAGAGGGCGCGGAACGGGCGCGGGGCCGCAGGCGGCGGCGGAGGGCGGGGAAGGCGGGGAGGCTGAGGCGGCGGCGGGGCGCTCCGGCCGGCCGAGGGCGGGGGGCGCTGGCTGCGCGGGGAGCCTCCGGGCGGGGAGGGCCGAGCGGGCGGGAGCTGCGAGCAGGTCGCTGGGCCAGAGGAACGGCGAGTCCAGCGGGCCCGGCGCCGCCGCTGACCAGAGTTAGCGTCCAATATGGCGGACACAAGGGGAAAGGGATCCCAGTTTACGTCGGGGGAGGGGGCAGGAGCGGCGGGCAGGGGGAGGGGTGTAGGAGCCCCCCCCCCCGCCTTACTCCGCCCTCCCTGGCGCCGCTCTCCGCCCTCGCCTGCACCCCGCCGTTAACGGGCGTCGGCGCGCAGGGCACGCCGGGAGTTGAAGTCCGTAGACCCGCGCCGCCGCCAGGGGTGCCCGGGATGGGGACCACGATTCCCGTCGGGCCGCTCGCGGCCGAGCGTTCTGGCGCCTCACGGTGGGGCGGGAACATGGGGGCGCCGTGACGTCACCCCGTCCCGCCCCACCGCCCGGACCTCTGGGACTTGTAGTGGGGCGTAGGCGGCGGGCCGGGGCGGTGCGGGGGTTCCGGCTGCGGGCGAACTACCAGCCGGCGGCGCGCAGTTCCGCCTCTGACAGGCTCCAGTACCCCACGCCCGCGCCGCGGCCAGTGCTTTAGGCCGCAGCCCGGCTCTACCTTCCTATAGCGCCCGATGACCTTGGGCGGCCCCTCGCCTGAGTCCCGGTGACCCAGCAGGGACGGAAGCCGGGTATCCGACGTGGGCTCGGGCGGGGTCTGTCCGTTAGCAGGGGCCCCGCCCTGGACCGGTACCCCCAGCCCCGACCTCGCGCCCGCGCGCCCCGCTAGAGCCCTTCTCCCCGAGGCGCCTGCGCCGCAGCTGCCCAGTACCAATTGTCCTCAGCTCGGACCGGGGACCCGCTCGGCCCAGACACCAAGACAGAGGCTCGTCCTCCCCTGTTGGTGGCGGCCGTTACCGGAGCGGGGCTGCCCGTCTGCCTGCCCCGACCCCCGCCCAGCTGCGGCCGCGGCATTCCGACCCTCTGACCCTTCGTGCCACAGCCAGATGAGTTAACGTGATCGGATGAGCCCTCTGCAGAAAGGCCCTGCGAGATTGCAAGTCGGTGGAATAAAGGCGCTCCCCTCTCTGCCCCAGCCGCCGAGGGTGGAGTTTGAGGCCTCTGGCGGACACCGTCCCCACACGGGCTGGGTCAGCACTCCCTCCTCCGCGGCCCGCCAGCTTTTGTCTATCAGAGCACATCAGCTGGGATTGGGGTTCTTGGTGCTCACCAGTATCCCCAGAGAAGTCTTAAAGGACAGGGGAGGGCACGGGAGTGCATGCCTCTTGCACCTCTGAATCCCAGCCCCTGACCAACAAGGGCTGGGCACACAGTCCAGTATTTGCTGAATGAATGAATGGATGGATGAGTGAATGACATAATAATGACTTGTCAAGCAGCCATGCACAAGCCACTCTGCCTGCTGCTGTTATCTGCAGAACCACTAGCCCTATGTTACAGATGAGAAACAAGTTCATAGATCTGAAGGGGTTTGCCCAAAGTCACCCAGATTGTCAAGAGGCAGGGCCCAGATCTGGCTCAGGTGTGACTGTGTTCCAACAGAGTACAAGCTGTTGCAATCAAGGGTTCCTCTGGGGCTGAGGACAGGAGAAGCCTCTGGGAGGAGGTGAGCTGAGCCAGAGCTAGTCACCCTCAAAGCAAAGGACTTTCAGCAATGAAAGACTCTGCGGCAGAGGAAAGGTCAGCATGTCTCAGGAACCTACAAAAGGTACTGGGGCTGGAGCAAGTGAAAATAGAAACTGCAGGCCTCCATAAGGAGGGTAGGTTTTACTCCAAATGCAACTGGGAGCCATGGAGGGTTTTCAGCAGGGAGGGTAATGGAAAAATGTTTATTTTTGAGAGAACTCTGGCTGTGTTGTCGAGGGTTGATGTCAGGGGAGCAAGATTGGAGCCAGACACTCATGACAGCCTCCTAGCGGGTGGAGAGGGTGCTCTTGGCAGACAGAAGTGATGAGGCAAAGACATAAAGCAATGGTTCTCAATCTTTTTCATATCTCCCCTAAGGAAAATTAACAAGAAATCAGGGAGAAAAATTAATACTAAGGAATTAGATTTTGTCTGTTAGGGCTGAGCTTTGGAGGGCCATGAACCATTGTAGTATCTAAAATTTGTTTCTCCTCCCAAGTATCAATTTTTACCACAGAAGGATGTGTTAGTGTTCCCAGAGAAACAAAACCAATAGGAAATAGATAATAGGGAGAGAGAGGGTGAGTGGGTGCAACTGATTGATTGTAAAGAATTGGCTCACAGATAGAGGCTGACGAGTGCCAAGATCTGCAGTCAGCAAGCTGAAGACCTAAGAAAGCCAATGCTACTTCCCAGTCCAAGTCCGAAGGACAGAAAATCAGGAGAGCCAATGGTGTAGTGCCAGTCCAAAGCCAGCAGGCTCGAGACCCAGGAATAGCTGATGTTTCTTTTGAGTCCAAAGGCAGGGGGAAAAAAACAATGATCCAGCTCAGAGGTAGGCTGGCAGCAGGAGTTCCCTCTTTTTGTTCTATTTAGACCCTTTTGTTCTGTTCAGGCCTTCAACTGATTGAATGAGGCCCACCCACATTGGGGAGGACAATCTGCTTTACTTGGTCCACAAACCAAATGTTAACCTCTTACTGAAACACTCTCACAGACACACAGCCACATCCAGAATAATGTTTGACCAAATGTCTGGGTCCCCAATGGCCGAGGTTGACACATAAAATTAACCATCACAAGGGAGATGGAAGGACATAAGGACCAGAAGGGTATTGTATACTGTGTATAAAATGAAGGTTCCTGTGGCCAGGATTCTCACCTGGCCCTGGTTGGCTAGCTCACTATACATGTGGGCAATACGTTGTTATTGACTCTATAGAAAAGAGCTCTGCCGTGTGCTCTGGGTGACATAGTGACATGGCTACAAGGCTGCAGGAGAGCAGAGCCTGGAGTGGTGGCAGCGCCAAGGACAGGGGCCCAGAGGACAGCTGTGCAGGCAGAGACCTGCTTGCTGCGTGCAGTCATGCTCTGAGGGAACATGATTCTAGTGATCAATCTGCCGCCATGGGAATAAAGTTGGGTATAACCCTTTCACCCCAAGAACATTCCACTGTCATTTCCTTGGTCACATTGAATCCACAGTGAATTTGCTTGGGGCAAAACCCGTTGACAAGACATATTCTTATAGAAGTAAGAGCAGCTTGGTCTGGCAGGAGCCCAAGTGGGGTGTGGGCAGTGACCTTGAAGAAGATTTAGGCATAGAAATGGCCACTCAGAGCACTGGAAGTTTCTTAGAACTGACTTGCATGAAAAGGATGCACATGTTGGACATTTTTGTGAAAGTGAAGTTATTACTTTCATGTGTAGTAAATTAAAATGTACTATTGAATATGTACATAACAAGACAGTTTTATGAGAAAAAGTATCTCACTATTCATAACCACTGAACATTATATAATAATGAATCATTACCAGAAATCATTACTTTCCCAAATTTCTGGTTTATTAAGTCTGCAGAAAGAACATCTGGATGCCCCTGCTGAGGCCATTTCTTTGCCCCAAGTAGAACCATGACAGGGGGCTTCTACCCCACACAGAGCACAGGGAATTCTCTGCAGGAACTATGCAGTGCAAGGACGGACATGGACATACTATTTGGGAATCCCAAAGAATTAAGCAGTTCTTGACGGTCACCCAAAACTGAAGCCTGCAGGCCAATGAGCTTTGCTACGTTGAGCTTCTAATCAGCTCTTCAAAATGTCATCTGTAAACGTGAGCCCATCAAGGATCACCAGTCATTTAAGAAACAGCTCAAGCACAGGTACAAAAAATGTGTGTGTGCAGTGGGGCAGGCCAAGAAACCGTTAATGAAAGGGATCAAAAACTTTTTAAGAAAACTAATAGTGTCAAAGATCTGTGAAAGGAATCTGGGAGAGTAAAAATACAGCCAATATTGTAAAAGAAATTCAATAGATGGGATGCAGGTTAAGGGAAGTATTCAGAAAAGTAGAACAAAAGACAAATGGAGGAAACAGGAGAGGAGTGAGACTTAAAAGTTCAGTCAGTCTGGAAGATCCAGCAACTTTCTAATAAGAAATCTAGGGAAAAAATTGAGGGAAATAACTTTTGAAATAAATCATACAATTTACCAGAAGTAAGAACTTGAGTGCCCAGACTGAAAGAGTCCCCCAAAGATAATGATTAATCGTAGAAAACCACAAATAAACAAAACAGCTGACAACACTAAGAAAAACATTTTAAAAAAGCAGAAAAATGATCTAACTAAATGTCTTAACAGTAACATTCAATGTTAAATGGTGGAGCAGGGCCTTCAAATTTCTGAAAGAAAATAACATATAATGTAGAATTGTATAGTCAGCCAAACCATTAATCGTGTGGAGACAGAAAACAATTCCAGACATTCAAGCTATGTTTTTCAGGTAAACAGATTGTACTATACTAACAAACAAACCCTCAGGTACTAGTAGATGTATTTCTCATACGTAGTCTGAGGCTACCAAGTATGTCCCCTCGTTCTTATAACTGAGATGTGACTTCAAAGGTCACTCAATCTTGAAAGTGAGGGAGAAGGGCCTGGAAATTAAAAATAAAGCCAAAATTGTCAAAGAAATTCAGTAGGTTTGCAAGATAAAGTTAAGGAGATTATCCAGAAAGTGTAAGAAAAAGACAGAAAATAGGAGAGAAAAGAGACAAATCCTAATCAGACAACTTTCTAATAGAAGTTTGAGCAAAAAAAAAAAGTTGAAAAATAATGAACCACAAGATGAACCAGCCCAAACTGAATCAAGAGGATGGGAGAATGTGAAGCAGAAATTTGATGCATCAAGTTACCTGATACCTGGAATTAAGATAGAAGGACACATACAGAGCAGATACGGTAAACGTATCAGATTAGATTTAAGAACAACATACAGTCATAATGATGTAGAGCTGATTATTGATTTAACTAGAACAGCAATATATATCTCTATAAAATATGCAAAAAAATATGTTAAGAGAGCAACTGAAGACATAGAACCAGGGATCCAGTATTTACTCTTTTCCAGTTCTTAGGGTGCCAAGAAGTAAGGCTTTGTCTGGCAGGGGGAGATATTGGGAGGTCTTTTGGTGCTGGAGAGAGAGAACTG